CCTGCCTATGTATGCATGTTCTCCACTTGAATGGCTGGAACAGCTCTTGAGTTCCCTGTACACCTCCCCACTCAGGAGCAAGCAGAATGTGCCCTGGCATAGATACTTAAAGAAAAATAAATACTGTACAGTTTAGAGAACAACTCCAGATTCCATTCAGTAAGCGCTGTTAAATTTAGTTGAAAACCACTTCTTACTCACCATTTCCTTTTCTTTACTATGTGCTTCCTTTGTCACAAATGGAGATTAAATGCTAACTGCCAACAATTAATTAGACCTGTCCTTCTTATGAGACCCACAGGCCTGGAACAACCCTTTATTTCATCTTTTTCCATCACACAGGTTGCCTTGCTCTCTCTGCCTTGCTTTCGCCATCCAATGAGTTGCCCATCTCCACATTGCAGCCTTCATACTCCCTTCATTCCCTGTTACAGTGGTCCCCCGCAAGACGAATGCCTCGCAAGACGAAAAACTCGCTAGACGAAAGGGTTTTCGTTTTTTGAGTCGTTCCGCAAGACGAATTTCCCTATGGGCTTGCTTCGCAAGACGAAACGTCTTGCGAGTTCTTGCGAGTTTGTTTCCTTTTTCTTAAAGCCACTAAGCTGTTAATAGCCGCTAAGCCGTTAATAGCCGCTAAGCCACTAATAGCCGCTAAGCCGCTAATAGCCGTGCTTCGCAAGACGAAAAAACGGCAAGACAAAGAGACTCGCAGAACGGATTAATTTCGTCTTGCGAGGCACCACTGTATAATGCTTCAGGCCCAGCTCCAGAGAATTTGCTGCCTGTAGCGGAACACCAAATAGTATCTGCCCCAAGTAACATTTGGAGATAGGGGAGAAATCACATTCAGTTCACATTTAAAGCTGAACCCGCCTAATTTGCACTTTCTGAAACAATATGAAACACTGTCACTCCTTAACATCCACACTTCTCCAAATTTTGCAATGCATCTCCAGTCAGATTTTATGTGCAAAAATATGTACCTATACTAACATAAAGTCTGCATAAAAACATATGTATTAGTGAAAATAAATTTCAAAAAGCATTTCATTAGGGAGAATTGCTTTGAAAAAAATGTGCATAATAAGCAAAATTGCACACAGAAATATTAGGAGGAACTTATACTAAAATGCTGGTGAATTTTCATGAGGACCTTTTTTTAAAAAAATCACACATAGATGTGGAAATGGGGAGAACTGAATTTAAGATTGGGAGCAGGGGCGGGGGGAGATAAATGGAAATAAAAGGAAACTGACAGATTTGCCAGTCCTTAGTCACAGTGCTTAATACCCACAAGTACTATGACAGTAAGCAAAAGCCAAAACTTCAAACATGGCAATTGCTGTTCTTTCATGATTCATTAATCCATCTGTCTGGAGTGGCTGCCTTTAACTGCCTGAAGGTATGACCAGCTCTGTTATGTTTTGTGCTTCATCATGCTCTGTCTCCAGAACATGACCTTAATAGTGGGTCCTCTCAGTGCCAGCTTCTCCCTTCCAACAACTCATTCTGGCACTACTCACTAACAGATTTGACTATGCACATCCTGTCTGTTTCCTGCACTTGTAGGCTCAAAGCTTGCCACGTGGATATTAGTGGCTAAGAAAAGAAAGAGGGAAGAGCATAAGCAACATGAAGAGGTGGGCATCAAGCATGAGAGCTGTGCATATGAAATCTGAAAACTGGTTAGTTCAGTTATAAAAGGAGCCACCGCAAGGGATTATATTTATATTTTGAAGGGTAAACAGGAATTCAACACCGGGGCACAGTGCAGCAGATCAACTAAATGAGGGATGGGGGACATGTGGCCCTCCAGATGTTGCTAGACTACAATTCCCATCAGTCCCAGTGGGCGTGCCCAATTGTCCTATAGGTCCTGCTATTCACTGTCAACACTGGACCACAGCCAAGGACACAAGAGCAGAAACTCCAGAATAAGGTCAGGAGCTCGGTGCAAAGCTGCAGTGAGTTTGCAGATGGCACTTGAAACAGACATAAAGGTATGTCAGGGTTCAGAACCAGGCAAGCAGTCAGGATCAGGGCTATAAGTACTAAGAACTGGAACCAAGACCTGATTCAGCAGAGGTTGTGGCCAGGTAAACAGTCCCCAAACACACATTGCAGGGAGTTGGACTATCAGGCATGTCCAGCTCCCAAGAGAGAGGGGGAGTCAAAGTTGTTGAGCATTTTTAAGGGGGGCAAAGCCAAAGTTGTTGAGCTTTTTTTAAGGAGGAAAAGCTAATCTAGCATTTTTAGCTTTATTTTAGGGGGGGCATTGCACACCTATTACAGCAACGACACAGCAGTAACAGCTAGTTTCATTTTCTAACGTGCCGACTACATAAGCATTTGACACAACAGAGGAAAAGAGTGACGACAGCAGGGGGTGAAGACTTTAACTCCACTGCGGGGTCGACCAGTTGGACATCCCTGGACTAGATGACTGCTTGAGTCCCAAATCTCACAGTGAGAGAACCGCCAGAAGGCCCTTGGTGCTGGACCTCAGTGTCCAGGCTGAATGATGAGGGTGGAGACACTCCTATACAGGACCAAGGCCGTTTAGGGCTTAAAAGGTCAGTACCAACACATTGAATTAGAATTATCAGAGAGCACAAAGGCTGAGAACCATGTAGCCTGCCCAAGCAGTCAAACCTGGAAACACTTAAAGACCATGCTAAATTGGGATGAACTATTTGGTTTCCTTGGGGCTTGAATTCATGCTAGAGACTGGAAGAATGACATTCCCTAACTCTTCTGCACTTCAGAACTCAGATGTGCATTGTAAGTGTATGTGACTTTTGAATATTTCTTACGCAGTTATGCCATTACAAAGTTCCCTCTATTTATAGAGCAGGGCTTCCTGCCTATGGCATAGTTGTGTACACCAGCTGAAATAATAGGCAATCCATTAAAATAAAATTCCAGAAGAGTAGCCATGTTAGTCTGTTGCCACAAGGAAGGTAAATAGTCCTTTCGGACAGGTGGTGATTTCTGGTAGCTTTAACACTGCAGATGGCTAACCATCTGCTGTGGATGATACTCCTGTCCCCAATTAATAGAAAGGGCAGGGGACTAGCCTTACTCCCAATGGAAACCCTTTCTATTAGAAGTCTGCATTGTAAAAATAAATAAATATCAGAACAATATGTTAGAAACCCACAAAGATACAGAATCAAGAATAGAAAGCAAGAGAGAAAGGGAGAAAAATGTATAGCTAGGTTGGGGATGGATATGTATTTTAAAATGTATGTTATACCTTGATTTTCTTTTTAAAAGAAATGAACCCAAAGAGGCTTACATGAAACATCAAAATCTACCATTTATCTGGAATACTTAGAGTTTTATCCAATATAGTGCCAGTGTGGTTAAGAGTGATAGACTCGTAATCTGGGGAACTGGGTTCGCGTCTCCGCTCCTCCACACACAGCTGCTGGGTGACCTTGGGCCAGTCACACTTCTCTGAAGTCTCTCAGCCCCACTCACCTCACAGAGTGTTTGTTATGGGGGAGGAAGGGAAAGGAGAATGTTAGCCGCTTTGAGACTCCTTCGGGTAGTGATAAAGCGGGATATCAAATCCAAAACTCTTCAAACTCTAGTGCTAAGAAACTGTCCTATCAGCACAAGGACTTCCTCCCCTCTCTTCCCTCTGTGCGTCCAAGTTTGTTTTGGGGCAGATTTGGGGGTGGTGCATGCAAAAGAGAGAGGAGGGAGGAGAGTCCTGTTACAGGAGCATAAGAAGCCTTACAGCCCACTTTTTAGCCCTGAAAGGTGCTCAAGTAGTCTTACAAAAAATTCTCACAATAAAATGATATCCAAATGTAGTATCAGAAACAGAAATGTCCCTGTGCTGACACATTATTCAGGTGGCATTTCCTGCCACCTGGCATTGGTCGTCCTTAGTGTCATCGTTCAAGCCCAGGATGAAGGCAAGTCTTCCCTTGCTGCCATTTGGCAGCTGCCAGACAATGCCTCCCACTGAGATTTTCTGACACCAGGGAGTGGGACTGGGCAGCTGGATCTTGCACAGCCCATGATGGCTGATACATATAAAACCCCAAACCTTCAAAACAACAGTGAAACAAATATACCACATCATTATTGTATCACCACATTGCAGCAGGAGCTCATAAAACAAGACAATGGGACAAAAACATATCAAACAGGGAAACAGGAACAAAGAGCCAGGGTTTGTCTTGGTGACTGAAGGCCCAAACTGATATGGTCCTCCTTGGAGAAGGCATTCCATGAAGTTGTCCCCTCAGCTGAAAAAGGCCTGCTCCCTAGTAGATGCCTGTGGGCTTGAGAGTTAGCCGTTGGGGGCTCAGCAAAAGGAGGTAATGACAGTCATGATCCAAAAGGGGTCCAGTGATGCTCATGTAATCAATGTCACCACAGCAAACAGCAGCAACAACAAACGAAAACCCCAGACAGGAGTGTAGCACTTGCTTGTCTTTCTGACATCATTCAGCATAATTATTAGTCACCCTTTGCTTTAAAGACAGTGGCGTTTTATCTCACCATAATTACAGTACTACTTAGAGCAGCGTGAACTTTACTAGGAAAAGCTTATAAAATATGGTGAAGTAACCATAACAGCACCTATATCACCAACTGCACCATCTTGTAAAGGCAAAAACCCTTTGTTCTTGAGCAAGCATTATTTGGGGGGCCAGAGAAGAAACTGCAGTGCCTATTTTCACAGCCCACACAGCTGAAGGCAAAGGTTGTTTTTTCCCCTGTTCTGTGAATGAGTCATCTTGATCTAGTTATGAAGAGTTTCATTTTTTCCAGTAATTTCCCTACAATTTTTTTCCTATCATTTCCCTACACTTTTCTCCTTTCCTTAAAGGCACAGTGTTCTGCGTGACAGCAAGAGGATGAATCTGGCCAATTCTTTCCCCCCTCCCTCCCTCCCTCCCTTTACAATCCCCACCCAGACGGAAGCCTCTCCCCTCCCTTTGCACATGAAAATTAAACCAAAAAACCAAAAAAAACTACACCACCCAGGCCCTTTGCAAGCAAAAGGAAGCTGCTAGATAGCAGCACACTCACACTTTTTAACTATTTCTTCTGTCAGTGGCAATTTCTGCATCTGATCCCATTCTCTATCCTCACGTGCAGGGCAGCCAGATGTTCCTGGAATAGATTCAAAACCCACGTGGTCAGCTAAAAAGAGGCTCGGGAAACTGATACAGTGACCTGCAGAAGTAAGTAACTTTTTTTCTCTCTCATCAAGTTTCATTTTGATTTTGGGGAACCTGGAGCTTTCTGAAAACAAATACATGCACTAAATATATCTACTTGTGATTATTATTATTATTAATAAAACAATCCCAGCACCCCCCCCTCTCCTATTATCAGCAAGAAAGAAGTTTGCTGGGCTGTCAGATGTCAGAGCTAGAGAAGTAGAAAAGATCAGTTTTGCTGCCTGTTTGCTTCCACCGTAAAAAGTTCTCAAACTATTTTTGTGCAGCGGTAGCAAACTGGCAGCAAGCCCAGCTGGTTTACACACAATAGCTTACACACTATATAGTTCACTGCTCTGCTATGTGAGCAGTTCTTTCACATCTTCTATCAATATTTCAATTTCAAGCGGTGCTTTTGTTTTGTTTCGATTTCAACAAGCCCTGCACAAGAACGTTAAAAGAATCTACAAATCTCTGGGTGGGGTAGTTGGTCTGTGTATGTACTGATGTGCGTGGCTGTTTCTGACATTCAGGCCTTGGTCTAAGGGTGTGGCTCTCAGGCACAAGGATGACATGTGAGATGCCAGATGTATATATCTTTTCCATTTATGTTGCAAGTGACCTTACAGTATAAAGTATAAGAGTAATAGATTCCATCAGCATTAACAGGAGGTTAATGGTGTTTTTATATTTTCCTGAAGATTATAATGGAGGGAGGGAAAGAGAAGGAATGGGAAAGCCTGTCTACTTCCCTACCCCAACCTGCCTCTTCCCAGATATATTAGAGATCTAAGGTGCCAAAATTGCTGCATAGAAGTTCAGTTCAGAGTATTAATGTGGATTCAGTCCTTCAGTCCCGAGAGTGCATGACTCAAGCACGTGTATGAGTAGATGGAAAGGAATTTCCTGGTTCTTCCTCTCACTTGTATAATCATTTTAATTTCTGCTATCTTCTGTACTGCAAGTACTCAGGCTGAAGATAAAGCATTTACATAAGAAAAGCCCTACCCAAAGTTAAACATCCTGTTTTCACAGTGGCCAACCATAATCATATGGGAAGCCCACAAACATCCTTTAATTGATAAGACTTGCAAACTAAGGTGTTAGTTGACTTGCATTGATGAAGCCCAATTAAAATCTGTAGGCAGGAAATTCTGTTTAGCTGGACGGCACTAGGTGCTGCAAGGACCACAGAGTAAGCACCATTGAATTCAGCACGGCCTACCCCCAGGTATGTGGTATAGGATTGCAAACTAAAAATGCCTCCAAGATTTTTAAAAACATAAGCTGCAGCCCCAGATTGGTTTTAGCTGTACTTAAGGCATGATGGGAGACTGTCCATGACTTGGAAGACCATACATCTACCACATCTTTCCTCCTCTGGCAGTTTGACTTAATGCTTATTATCAGTGCTGTTTTTCTAGTAAAAGAGGTGTTGGAACTTATCATGAACACCTCCCTTGTTCTCTTATAATGGCAATGGTACCCACGTGAGAGGTGATGGAACTGAGTGCCAGTGAGTTCCAGCTGAAAAACCCCCCTGCTTATTATTATTATTTGATGAAAAACACAAGCACGGTCAAGCTATTTGGGAACAGGGAACATAATCCTAGGAAATGCAGCATATATGTATTTGTTTTTTAAAAAAACATCAGAAAATACAGCACATTCAGTTAATTTTATCACACGCTTCCCAAATAAGAGGACTGGTAAAAGAAACCCAAAGGGTACTGTTATAAGTGCCATATCTTTTCAGGAAGCTTGGAGGTTATGTCAGAACAAAACACTATAACAGAGACTCGTCAAATGCAATGAATACCACAGCTTAGACAAGGTACAAACAAGTCCAAAAGGAACACAGAATGGTTAAAAATAGAAGAGTCAATGAAGCTATAAAAGGCAAGAAAGCTTCCTTTAAAAAGTGGAAGTCTTGCCCTCTGGGGGGCAGAGAGCACACAGGCAAGCTGTGTGTAAGTCAAGCAAATAAAGAACTTGAGGAGAATATTAAAAAAAATTATTAAAAACTCAAAAAAATTCTGTGAAGAAACTAGGATGACACTGGGGGTGTTAGATAACAGAAATGTGTCAAAATAATACTTAAGGAACACAGGGGATTTATTTTAATAAAATTTAGCAGGCATGGATAAAAAGCCATGTCCTTTGTGGATTTGTAACACACTAAAAATCAGTAAACAGATAAATGGACTGAGAGTTGTTACGGTGGAGGGAAGTAAACAGCTGCATCCCCTAAGAATCTGTGTTGAAAAGTGATCTAGTGTTTAACTATAAATGATATGAAGTTCGAGGTGAAGAGGGTAGTAACCTAGTTTGGAAATGACTTCAAATTATTCATTTTTCAAAATGCTGCAATCCAGACCAGAGTGAGAACAACTTGCGGGTGGGGAACACCTCTGAATAAATGAGCAACAGAATGGCAGATATTATTCAAAGTAAATACAAAGTGACACATATTGGAACAAAACAAATCCTACCATACTTTGAAGGAGAATCTAGAATTATCCATTTGGAGGACTGAATCGAATAACAGAGATGGTTACTTGTGGGGTAACTTTTTTTATTTATTTGTTGCTCCTGGCCCTAAGCTGCATTTATGGATGGTGAGGAAAAGAAGGAGGGATCAGGCTTCAGGCCTGCAGAGTGTTGGGGACTGAATTGGCTGTAACTGTCATGGAAAGAGAGATTGGGGCAGGGTTGCCATATTTCAAAAAATCCAGGCACAAAAGTTTGGTTTGGTTTTTTGTTTTTTTTTTTCGGAGGGGGCAATGTTGTTGAGTTTTTTGAGAGGTTTTTAAGGAAATTCTACACTTACGACATGGGTTGCCATACATCTGTATTTTCCTGGACGTTCAAGCGATTTCTGCCTGGACACAGTTTCCGACATCCAAATCCCTGGTATGTCTGGGAAATTCCAGTCATATGGCAACCTTATATTGGGGTCCATAGGAAAAAATCATTACTAATTATGTTCATGATGGGAAGGGGCAATAGTACAGCAGTAGAGCAGATGATTTGAATACAGGTGGTTTTAAGATCAATCCCTGGCACCTCTAGTTTACGCAGGGCCAACCCAAGACATTTGCTGCCTTAAGCAAGCACCTCCTGCCCTTTCTATGTACAGAAGCCAACAGGACTGAGAGCCAAATCTTACCACAAAGCTGGTCATGGAATAGCACGCTCCACTAAATCTCAGACAGAAGGCTAACTTAGGAGGGCCATGTCAGGCCTTGTAGCGCACACAATTCTGTCCTCCTGACAGAAGGAACTGGCCGGGGGCCTTATGAGGCACAGCCAGGAAGCTGCTGCTGGCATCCTCCATCTGCCACCTTAGGCAGTTTACTCACTTTGCCTAATGGTAGGGCCAGCCCATAATTTAAGTAGCTCAGGTAGCAGGTGATAGGAAAGCTCTCTGTCTGAGACCCTGCTATTCCTAGGGTACCTCCAGACTGGCCCTATCTTGCAGGAGGCATTCAAGCACATGCTGGATTAAACTTTGTATTATACAGTACATACAAGTATAATGCCCCAAATGTGCAATTAGTAAACCTATCACTAGATGGTGCTTGGAGATATATTATTCACATTGCTGAGTGGCCATAATTGCTAGGATATGCAGCTGTGTCACCTAAGGTAATGAATTGTTGCTCCCATTAATTCATTACTCCGTGTACCTCCCATTGATTCAAATTAGTCAGGCAATGACTATTTGTTCCTCATTATTCCATCCATCAAGTGCCATTCATTTGGTCCAACCTGTTCACACTAATACAGTAAACTCATGTAAATACTCCTGTGTTCATAACAACAGTCTGGTCAGAACTAGTGAATGGAAGTACAACAAATCTGAGGATTCATCTGTCTCAAGATCACACAGAAAATTTGGTAGCAAAGTAACACATGGACAGAACCTAAGATTAACAGCAGCACATTTTCTATTCTGATAATGGTGTTTCTTCACTGAAAACTCAAACTCCAGTCGGTCATTAAAGCCTCATAGAAGTGAAGGTAAGGCATGCTTGAGTGTTCTCTTGTACGGTGAGATAAAAAGTCCAGCTACGGATTCAAAGGCAATGGAGTGCCAGATTGTTCACTAAAGTACATGACTGCCTAGTCCTTTCTAATCTTCTAGTATTATTAATGGAAGCAGCCAGTACAGTGGCAGAGTGATCAGAATAAAGTTGTCTCATTTATTATACATCCTTTATACTTTGACAGATAAATATGCACACTTCAAGGAAGATTCAGTGCTTTGTGGAACTCCCTACTGATTTCAGACAAGTATCAACAGTGTTCAGTTTTAGACGCTTGCTTAAGACCTTTCTGTTTATACTGATTTTTTATGCTGTTTATGGCATATTGTGCTTTTATGTTGTGCACTACAGTGGTGCCTCGCAAGACGAAATTAATTAGTTCCGCGAGTTTTGTCGCCTTGCGATTTTTTTCGTCTTGCGAAGCACAGTGTTGGGAAAGTTTTGGAAAAGCTTCAAAAATCACCAAAGTCTTTAAAAACCTCAAAAAAAGGCTACCACACCGCGTTCTATCAGTTGCTCCTCGAAGTCAAGTCGCAACTGTATTAACGGTGTTAAGAAAAAGGAAACAAACTTGCAAGACGTTTCCGTCTTGCGAAGCAAGCCCATAGGGAAAATCGTCTTGCGAAGCAGCTCAAAAAACAAAAAACCCTTTCGTCTAGCGAGTTTTTTGTCTTGCGAGGCATTCGTCTTGCGAGGTACCACTGTACTATGGTGTTTTTATGTTAAGCAGTATATACATTTGTACCATAAATAAATAAAGTTATGTTAAGTCTAATGAAATATGACTTCCCCAAGATTCTATTAAATGTCATCATAAAAATTAATAGTACTAGTACTGGACAGCACATTTTGTAATGAAACAACATAAATTCCCATGTTTTAATTGACACATTTCTGTCCTAAAACACTAGCCGTTTTTAGGATATTACATCTCAAAATAATGCTAGAAGTAGAGATTCACTGCTCAGATAAGACAGAATTCTACCTACCAACCAGGTACACTTGGTATGTAATTTATAGTACTAGGTAAAGAAAATACTAAAAGTATACCAAAATCCAACAGACATTGCAAACAATATAGTGTGCATGGGATTATTATTGTAGCTATTAAGTAGATAAGAGTATGTGTTATTGTATCTCTTGACTTTTAGCAACCATGATAATGCTTAGTTCCCAATGTTTAGTAACTATTCTGTTTTGCAGCCCATGGAAAGGTGAAAAGAACAAGACTCCTTGATGCTGCAGACAACTCCACATCAGAACACTGAAGTCTGAACTGGATACAGAAAAGCAAAATGGCTGCCTTCATTGCTGAAAACTTCCGCTTCCTTTCACTTTTCTTCAAGAGCAAAGATGTGATGATTTTCAATGGCCTGGTGGCTCTGGGCACTGTTGGAAGCCAAGAACTTTTCTCTGTGGTTGCTTTCCATTGTCCATGCTCCCCAGCCAGGAACTACATCTATGGTCTGGCTGCCATTGGTGTACCAGCTCTGGCCCTGTTCGTCATTGGTGTCATCTGGAACACTCACACTTGGAACTTGGTAGCTGAGTGCCACAAACGAGGAACCAAGAACTTTTCAGCAGCAGCCAACTTCTTGATCTTTGGCTCTGTCATGGGACGGGCTGCAGTTGCTCCTGTTACATGGTCCGTGATCTCACTGCTTCGTGGAGAGGCTTATGTCTGTGCCTTGAGTGAATTCATAGAACCTACATCTCTGGATAAGTTTCCACCTGGCTACGGAGCAGAAACCATGGCCAGGTTCCCTTGTAAAGATGTGCCGCAAAACTTGACAAGATTTCAGGATGAGGTTATAAGACGATTAAAATATGAGTCTCAGGTATTGCATTTTACTTACTTGTTCGTCTGAAGCAGAGGAGTGCTGCCTCCTGCTTGGAATAAGAATAATTAAGGGCTTAGGACATATTTTTCCATTCCAAAATGTGTGCTTTTGGTATATTAGGATATGACACATACCTGATAAGCTGTAAATTCCTAAAACAGCTTCATTTTAGAGTCTTTATTAACTTCCCCTGCATCAACCAATACGATTAACTAATGGTAATTCCCTTGATTACTATTTTCCTTTTATTTTCTGCTAGTGAGTTTGCTTTTTCTTTTACTCCATTATCATTGTACATAGTTACTGTTATTATTCGTATCATGGTATGAACTTTGGGTTTTCAGGATATCATAGTATGATAGCATGCCCCTGGGCTTTCTTTAGATCTATGTGATTGTGCACATAGATTCAATTTATTCTGTGGCTGCCCCAGTGGGGGCTGATCTACAAACCCTTGCAACCCAGTTCTTTGCATGATTACTTGAGAAGCAGCTACACTCAATTCAGTGAAGCTCACCCCACAGTAAGAAAATGTTGGATTGCAACCTTAAATGGTCAACAATCTACTGAACTGTCCTCTCTCTCTCTTGCTTCATTTTCAGCCTCTGTCTGGTCACTGGAAACTAAATCCTCTTATATTTCTCTACAACTGGGGCCCTCAAGATAGCACCCTCAGACATTCCTTGACATTCACAAAGGCCCCCTGCTGCTCCCCATTGCTTGTTTTTGTTTCTGGATATTTGTTTGGTTCGAAAGGATACCTGTTGTGACGGGGGTTGTCTGATTTGGCAGGGGTGTGTGTGTGTTATAGGTGCTTTGCTTGTTTTAGGGCAGGCACATCCACCTCCCAAGAGACTGCGATCTACTCCCAGTATAAAAAAAATTGGCAGTGATCTACCCATTGTCATTGGAGGGAGGGGGAGCATGCATGGAGTGGGTGGATTGCCCAGAGTTGTTGAGCTTTTTTTGCGGAGGATTGCCCAGAGTTATTCAACTTTTATTTGTTAACTTTTGGTAAACTTTTTTTTAATCCCATGATCGATAGGGGTCCCGGTATCTACCAGGATCAGCCAGGGATCTTCTGGTAGATCGCGATCTACTGCTGGTTGGACATGCCTGTTTTAGGGGATGTTGGGAAAGCATCACTTTTCCCTTTTGTGACATGTTTTTCGCTGCCCAGGACAGTTTTGGAGTCCCAAATGTGCCCCCATCCAGTGAGTCCCTGTTCCAGGATATACTGTAGTTTTCCGTGTATATGACTAGGTTTTTGTAATTTCCAGTTTTACCAACTGTGGAAATTTTTCTATGTATATACAAATCAGTATGTAGTAGCCAAGGATATCCTTTTGAACCCTACTTTCTCCTAAAGGGAATGCAAATTTTAATTGGTTTATTTGTCTTTCTCTTCAGCTGTTTGGGTGGGTGCTCATTGGTGCGGTTGCAGTTCTTGTGTTCATCACCAAGTGCCTCAAACACTGCTGCTCACCACTCAGCTACCGCCAGGAGGACTACTGGAATCTGTACCGCTCCAGCGAGGCCAAACTCTTCCAGCGCACTGCTGAGATACACTCGAAGGTTGTGGCTGCAAACAACGTCAAAAACTTCTTTGGCTTTGTGTGTCTGGATAAGGAGGAGAAGGAGTTGGTGCAGGAATTTGCTGTCGAAACCCTTCAGCCCAGGCCACAATGGGATGCCATCACAGGGGTCTATATCTATCGGGAGAAGAACGGCTTCCCCCTCTATAGCCGTCTCCATAAATGGGCCAAAGGTGTGACAGGAAACAGCTTAGGTCCCGACAGCCAGGAAATGGCCTTCTTAGCTACCTAGCAAAAGCTGTGGACTTAAACACATTTCCCTGTTGGGAGTAAGTCCCACTGAACTCAATAGGGTTTACTTCTGAGCATACATGCATAGAATGAACTGGACTATAAGAGTGACCACCGCTCTTGGTACATCTATGCTGTAACCTGCCTTCATTTTATCTGTTGACCTAAGCTCTCAGCAAAAGATATGGCTAATGGATTTGATGTGAGTGGTCATCCGAAAGACTACATTTCGAAACAGAAATTGAAGGAGCAGCAGAATGTCTGGAACTGTGGACTACTAAACTAAGACCACAGGACTGCGAGTCAAAGAGAATAATAAATCTAAAAGAAAACATTGCAGCTAATCTCTTGGATGGGGACAGCTGGTCTGATACCCAGAGGCCTCTCACTGATGTATTCCCACATACAATGGAAAGAAGAGGAAATGAACTGGATGTTCTGCTTACTCAAAAATTGCTGATTATTTTCCTCCTCATTTTGGAGACAATATAATGCCATCATGCAGCTGTGCCTTAACTTACTTTTGTTTGACTTCCTCCAGGAGGGCTCAAACATACATATATATATATATGTATGGGTGGGGAACCTGTGGTCCTCCCAGAGGCTGCTGAACTCCAGCTCACATCAGCCCCACACAGCATGGCCAATGATCAGGGGATGATGCATGCTGTAAGCTGGAAACACGTACAGTCATACCTCGGGTTGAATGCGCTTCGGGTTGAGCGCATTTGAGTTGCGCTCTACGGCAACCCGGAAGTAACGGAATGTGTTACTTCTGGGTTTCGCCGCTTGCGCAGCAAAAAGCGACGCATGCGTGCGCAGATGAGCCGTCACTAGTTACGTTTGCTTCTAGATGCGAACGGGGCTCCAGAACGGATCCTGTTCGTATCCAGAGGTACCACTGAGGTAGGCAACAATTTTCTGATTGCTAATACAGGAAATTATCAGCAGAGTCTCTCAGAACCTACTTCCATATCAAGATTCAGGGCTAGGACCCATGGGATTGGCTGAATTCTGGTTTTGTGAGTGGCATCTGCTGTACTTCCTCCACAGGATTAAAAAACAACAACCACCTAACTGACCTAGAATGGATTATTTTATTTAATGGACAAGACTCTGCAGTTTGCACTTTTATGATCCCGTTTCTCATTATGACTCTTGTACATGTCTTCCCATGTACTGGACTTCAGATGATAGCACAATTGTCTCTGAATAACTGTCTACCAGCAAAGAGCTACTATTGCTTTCCCCATTTATTTCAATTATCTTCATATCCTTTACTAAAAATGTTGCAAGGGTCATCTTAGTTTGGGGACCATCCTTTCTTAATAAAAGTTTGTGGGCGAGAGTTGAAAAGTATGGTAAAGGGTCCTGCTTCAAGGGTCTGTTGTCGAAAGGGTGACTCCCCAAATTATTAAATCAGGGATTTTATCTAATTACCTGAATTGCTGCTATACCAAAAAGCACTTCTATTTATTTCCAGGATGGCTAATAGGTGGCCTCCAGATATTGGACTCCAGTTCCAATCAGCTCTAGCCAGCATGGCCAATGGTCAGATTATGGGAGTTGCAGTCTAACAATATCTAGAGGCGCACAGGTTCCCTATCCATGACATATTCTACCTTTCGCAAGGTATGAACATTTAGTATCCTCAGCAAAAACCATAATCAGAATTTGATTCCTGCTTGGAGTTTTAAGCCACACTAAGATAAACAGAAGACCTGAAGACCTTCCTTTTCCTGGCTGAGGGACCCTATAAGAAGTCCGATATCATGTACTGTAATTTGATTTTGTGTTTTTTCACTCCACGGCTCTTTCTAAATGATGTTATAATTTCTCATGGCTTTTATGGTCTTCCTTATTCAAATATGGCACAGACCACATGGACTGTATAAACAACATGATCCAAGGTATGTTTTGTCATTTTTCATGGTTCCAGTAAATGCTGCAACAGTCACCTTTCAAGTGACTTAACATCCGCATCTCTAGTTTTCTTGGGCATTCAAGACATTGACAAGATTTATGTGGAATTGTAACATTAAACCATTACGGTTCTGTGAAGAAATCTAACATTAGTCTCACATGTGTCTGTCACATACCAAAATCTATGGGCATTGCAACTCAGTCTCCCTGGGTTACTATATCCCACTGCTGGAATGCATAAAAAGGGATGGGTTATGCCTGCTTTTCCAGGTCAGTTCTGTGTAAATGATCAGAAGAGCTCTTGCCCCTTGAATTAATCAGGTGATCTGATGATTTTACATCAGTTCTGTGTTGTTTGTAAAATATATTCTGCTTATCCCAATTGTATTATTGCAAAGCTTTTGATAAGGATCAAGTGGGCACAAAGGGGATGGAAGCAGAAATAAATGGGATGTAAAGAGAAGGGACCAAGATGTACGGCTGCTAAACGTTAAGAGAATGGATGTGAGACATTACCCCTACATTATTCACTAGGCAGCTAGGACTTTTTCTGTTCACCAGATAAATAAATTACATTCTCTGGATTCTGTGCAATGCAAATATAGGATAGAAAGTGTAGAAGAAAAATTAGAGTTTTGCCTTGGAAAGTGTTTCTAATATGGGTCATGGCTATATGACAAATCATATATCAGAGGACCATTTTCACCTGCTATTTTTACATTGTGTTTAGGTGTTAAGTACAGTGGTACCCCGCAAGACGAACGCCTCGCAAGACGGAAAACCCGCTAGACGAAAGGGTTTTCCGTTTTGGAGGCGCTTCGCAAAACGAATTTCCCTATGGGCTTGCTTCGCAAGACGACAGCCCATAGGGAAATCTCCGGGACAGCGGGGAAGCGCAGCGCGTCTTCCCCACTGTCCTCGGACCTCCTCCCGCCGCCGGACATCGGAACGAAGCTCCGATGTCCGGCGGGGGGGGGGGGAACGTCTCCTCCCTCCAACGGACATCGGAACGAAGCTCCGATGTCCGGCGGGGGGGGGAACGTCTCCTCCCTCCAACGGACATCGGAACAAAGCTCCGATGTCCGGCGGGGGGGGGGGGGGGAACGTCTCCTCCCTCCAACGGACATCGGAACAAAGCTCCGATGTCCGGCGGGGGGGGGGGGGGAATGTCTCCTCCCTCCAACGGACATCGGAACGAAGCTCCGATGTCCGGCGGGGGGGGGGGGAACGTCTCCTCCCTCCAACGGACATCGGAACGAAGCTCCGATGTCCGGCGGGGGGGGGAACGTCTCCTCCCTCCAACGGACATCGGAACGAAGCTCCGATGTCCGGCGGGGGGGGGGAACGTCTCCTCCCTCCAACGGACATCGGAACGAAGCTCCAATGCCGGGCGGGGGGGGGAACGCCTCCTCCCGCAGCCCGGCATCGGATGGCTGTCCTGAAGACTTGGGGTGGGAGGAGGGTTTTCCTTCCCACCGCCAACATTCAGAATGCTGTTCTGAATGTTGGCGGTGGGGAGGAAAAACCCTCCTCCCACGCAAGCCCCGGGAACAGAGGAGAAGCGCTGCGCGCCTTCCCCTCTGTTCCCGTACCTGTCCTGAAGGCTTGCGGTGCGGAGAAAAGCCCTTCTCCGCACCGCCAGCCTGGCAAGCGGTTTCCCTAGGAACGCATTAATTGATTTTCAATGCATTCCTATGGGAAACCGTGCTTCGCAAGACGAAAAACTCGCAAGAAGAAAGAACTTGCGGAACGAATTAATTTCGTCTTGCGAGGCACCACTGTATATGTGCCATTTTAAAATAAGGGCTGGAAAACAGCCCTGGCATAATTTTGTAGGTATATGTTCATAAAGTATGGCATCAGTGAGTAACTCCAACTCTTGCATATTGGCATAACCAATAGTTCTCTCTTAAGTCAGATTTATAGTATGTGAGAATGAATCTAATGAGACAAGCCAGGAAACACACCCTAGAATACTGGCAGAAGACAGACACCAGAAGTATTCCTTGCACCTTTGGAAATGAATAGAAGAAAAAGGAAGCTTTAAAAAACCCTAGTTCATTTAATGAGCAGAGCAACAGGAAAGCACAAAGTAGTGGGTGACTTTCTGCTATTTTTAAACTCCAAAATAAATTTAAATAAAGCTCCAACTATAATTCTCGTATTCAAAAGTTTTTGTAAGGTTCAATAGGTATAAACATCTACAGAAACTATGCTCTCACACAGTTCTTGATAAAGCATAGTAATTTGGTCCGGGCTACCCCAATCTGCTTTTGAGATCAGGAAATGGAGCAGGCAGGAACACTCTCCTCCTTACAGCTATGGTCTGCTTCTCTGTCCCTGCTGCCTCTTGCACTGCAAGTGAGAACAAAAAAAGCCTGACTGCTCTAGAAGTTAGCCCTCAAGCAAGACTGCTCTTGGATTCCACATATTCCAGTGCTGCTGCCTTCACAGCCTGGACTGTTTCTGCTGTGCCATACTTCTTCTCGTATTCCAGATAGCGCTTAAAGAAAAACTTCATCTTCTTCGCTGCTAGGCTTAGGTGTATTACACGTTCAAAAATATCCCTGCAAAACAAAAACAAGGAAAACTCTTTTTTATTATGCAATCAAACAGGTAACAAACAAGCAACAGAAAAAGCATGGGCCTGGGAGTTAGCTGATCCTGTGGGTACAAATCTTTCTTGCCCATCATAAGCACTTTATCAAAATGATGCCTAGAAGACAGGAAGTGACTACCACGTGTTTCCAGAAAATTCAGACATTGTGTTCAATCACAGAGCTTTCAGATTCCTAGCATCTACAAGGATCTGTTCACAAAGCTTCTGAAACTAGAACAAGTTTCACTTGTGTGTTTTCCTTCAGAGTTCAGTACACACATGCTTGGAGGGGTATATCACCCTCATTGAGAAATCCTGCTCTGTCAAATGTCAAGCACATCTCAGTTGCTCTTTACAAGCATGGCAGGGGACCCCTAGCCTGAGAAGTGAGAATATTTCTAGTCTAAGAGCACGCCTGCAGCAGCCGGGGCTCAGTTCACATGTAACAGAAAACTATGGTTTTCTGCTAAGAGAATAAAGCTAAGGCTCACCCACATAGTGGAGATCTATGAATTCCCATTACATCTAAACTCAGCTAGGATGTTATGACGCAAAACTGATTTACTAGAATTGGTAAGAGACACAAATCCTTTGCTTCTTCTCTTGTTAGAGAGTAAGTAGTGTTGTGGCCTTTTAAGGGCTGTTTTGCCCTTCTGCAACATATGGTGTTGCTCTGAAGCCACATGCCCCACACCCCAGTTTTCATACCAGCAAGTTCATTAAATTTCTGTGCTATGGAACAATATTTTTTTTACCAGACTGCAATTACAATTTACATACATTTTGTGCCTTTTCTGAAAACTAGGAATCATGGCCTAGGAGTATGAAGGTTCCCATGCTAGACTCTCAGCTTCCAGGCTGAGAGAAGAGATAGTATTGAGAAAGAAAGCCAATGGGTTCCTCTAGTAAATAGCAGGCCTAATACAGCTTCTTAATGCTTATCATCCAGTCACTTCCTGTGGCACCTTTCAGAGTTGTAAATATTTGCTCACATGAAATCAAGCTTTCCAGCTTCCCTGGATTTAAGGCCAAGAAGCATCCCTTATGTTGTATTTACATCATTTCCTAGGAAGTTCAGAAGTACCAGCCCACTTTCCCATGCTAGTACTCACCGTACTTCCTTTTGGCTGCCATGTTTGATCATCATGTCTATGTACACTGACCAGATGTCTGTACGCTTCGGGTAGGTGCTCAGGGTATTCTCAAAAACGGTCTTGCCATACTCCAGATCACCAAACTGGAACTCCAGCTGTGCCAGCTTTGATATCAGATCCAGATCTGCAAAAGTGCATTTTAGAAGTGTTCTTCTGGCTAGTTGTCACTGCCTCTGCTTAGAGTTCAAGGACGCTGTAGTTACTTTGGCAATAATATTAGCAAGGAATTGGAGTTCCATGCTACCAAATTCCCAGAGTAGGCAACAAAGCTAAAATTATGAAACACCTGCCCCCCTGTTTCATAAAATGTGCATTCTTCATTGTGTTGGCAATTTTTTTATTGTTTGGGTTTGCTTCAGGTGCATCGGGAGGGGAAAAAATGAAATTATGCAATCAATGCAAAAGGATATTTTGCATTCAATCTAGGCTATGAAAATCCTGTCTGAATTTCTCAAGCCATTGGTAAAACTGCAGCATCCAGGAATATACACAGTCCTTTATATTAACTTTGAAATCTCCCCAATCAGAACATGCTCCACCCACCCCCCATTCCTAACTGATTAACTTTGAAAAGTGTTGGGGGTTTTTAAAGGAAAGTACCAATAAAATTATTGAAAGAGAATTTGCTAACAATGGCTATGGATATTTTTAGATTCACAGCACATGCTGCATTTCCTAGATATTACCTGTGTAATGCATAAATAACGAACATGACATTTAGATGCTAATCATAGGAAAGAAGAGTGAAGAGGTTCTTACGTTCTTTGACTGGCAGGCACTTCAGTGCACGTGGGAGGAGCTTATGAGCTGCCTCTACTAAGCCTCTTTTCAGGAGAAAAGTGGCATACTTCACCCACACAGACTTTTCTTGACGAAAGCGCTTCAGCATTGTGTTGTACAAGTCATCAGCTTGCTGAAAATAAAAATCAGAGGAGAGAGGATCGTTCAAACCATGGAAACACACTTTGAATCCTGTAGTTCTCCCTTGCCTTTGTATGCTATTCCAATATCTTCATTCACAACTGTATGCAATCTTGGAGTACAGAACTCAACTCATGGGTCCCAGAGGATATTATGCAGTCAACAAGTTAGAGCAAGAGACAATGTGGTGGTACTGCTTAGATGAGAAAGAGGCATGTAGGGAATCAGCCTGATGCTTGTCCAAAATGGAGGAAAAATCCACAGCATGATAAATCCACAGGGTAGATGGAAGCGCAGGATCCAGGTGGATCAACCAAGGTGGGCTCTTCCCAAGAACAGAATGAACAAGCAATTTC